ACTGTGAAACATCCATACACACTCATACACATTCCTTCACTACGGCCAATTTAGATTTTTCAATTCACCTATAGCACATGCCGCATAACTCGGAATTCTGACTTTATAACTCGCAATTCTGACTTAACAACTCACAATTTTGACTTAATAACTCGCAATATCGACATTATAACTTAGATTTCTGACTTTATAATTTGTTTTTACGTTGTATTTATTTTTTATTCTGTGTCGGGAACGGGCTTCCATACATTGCTGATCTTTTATGAATATAAAAAACTTTTTTTCACGCCTGCACACTAGGTGGTGCAACGCGCTCTTGAACTAATCGTCCTGTAGTCTCTAACCGCTGAGAAGAAGAGTCCCTTGAATCGGCTCATGCTCAAAACAGCAGAAAGCACACTGGGTGATGGATCTGTCTACCAGCAGCAGCAGTAGCGATGACGAGTTTATATTTATGCTGTTTAAAGAGGAGAGGAAAAGAAAGAGACGTTATTGGGTGCACCCTATACTCGAGGAGAGAGAAGTGCACGGGGATTTCCGCAGACTGATAAAGGAGTTAAAGTTGTATCACGACCGCTTCCATCGCTATTTCAGGGTGTCTGTCAGTCAGTTTGAAAGTTTGCTGAAGCTGGTGGCTCCTTCACTCTGCAAATCACGAACAAACTTCAGAAAACCCATCAACCCCGAGCAGCGTTTGGCAGTGTGTTTACGGTGAGTGGAAACAGAAAGCAAACTGTGTATTGTTATGATAAACAAATGTCCCCCCCATGAGTTTATAGTATTATAACTTAAAGTCATTGTATGCGCTCTTAAGTGGTGTTGGACGATCTGAACTAGTACTGTTAATACATTAAAATATGTATTAAACTTTTAATTTAAAAAATGAAACTTTTATTATAAAGTCGTTTCTAATATGTCAAGGTGATTGTCTGTGCTGTAGAAACGACTCTTGTTTATTTGGTGATCAGTCCAACACTTTTTCAGAAGGTTGTTTCTAATGTATACCTAATGTAACTTATAGAGCTAAAATTGGTTTTATATTCGCACATTCAGACTTTCCACTTAATAATATAATTTCATAAAATTATTATTTGCAAACTCTAAATAGCAAAATCATATTAGCAGCCAGTGACTATCAAAGTCCAACATTGTTCACAGTCAAATAATCAGCGTTAATGTTGTTTTCAAGCCACACTTGCATGCTAATTCCGGTCGAATATTCAAAGTAGCATGGTAAACCAGTGGTTCTCAAACTTTTTTTTAATAAGTACCACCTCAGAAAACAATTGTCTCTCCCAAGTACCACCATGCAGAGCAGTATTGAAAAACAGTAGCGTAGTTGGCCTAGTAAAGCTGCTACAGCTTTGCACAGTTCAAAAATGTGGCAGATTAATTCCTACTATTAAGAATATTTATTATCGTCAGTCACTTTAAACATTATAAATAGTCTGAACATTAACACTGGACTGTGCTTATTTGTAAAAAAAAAAAAAAACATAAGCAAAAAACAAACAAACAAACAAAAAAAATGTCAACATTTAAATTAAAATGTTCTTTTAAAAGTTAAAAATAGTAGGTTACTTTAAAAAAAAAATAATAATAATAATTTCTGGATCTCAGAAATATAGGCTATATGTCATCTTATATTCATATATAAATCATTTTTTATACATTTTGAAATATATGTAACATGTACACATGATATATTTGATTCCTCCGCGTACCACTAAAAGGAAGCCCGCGTACCACTAGTGGTACACGTACCACAGTTTGAGAACCACTGTGGTAAACAATATAGGGACTTCTAAATGAACGAATGTGCGAATATAAAACCAACTTTACCTCTATACCTAATGTTATTGTATGTACGATAGACAGTGGTGTAAAGTAACTTATTACAAATACTCAAATTACTGTAATTGAGTAGTTTTTCTCAGGAATTGTAATTTACTAAGTAGTTTTAAAATGTGTACTTTTACTATAGAGGTAAAGTTGGTTTTATATTCACATATTTGGACTTTCTCCTTAATAATTACATTTCATAAAAGTATTATTTGCAAAATCTAAATAACGAAATCATATTAGCAGCCAGTGACTATCAACGTACAACATTGTTTACAGTCAAATAAACAGTGTTAATGTTGTTTTCAAGTCACATTTGCGGGTTATTTCATACTGAATATTCAAACTGCCGTGATAAACAATATAGGGAGTGCCACAAGTTGTCACTGAACGAATGAGTGAATATAAAACCAATTCACCTCAATACTTTTACCTTCCCTTGAGCACATTTTAGTTCAGTATTGGTACTTTTAGTCCACTACTTTCCTTCAAAATGCAATCACTATATTATTTTTATCTTGTCTCAAGAGTTCACACTTAGCTGATGAGTTATAAAAGCTTGTTTGGCATGCTGTCCCGGGAGAGAGCCCCGAGCTCAAGGGATCCTCGAGCCCGGGGTTTCCTCCCGTTGGCAGAGCGAGAGGGGAGCCTGAGCTCGGTGGATCTCAGAACTCCCTGACTGCGGTAACTAAGGGAACAGAGGGGTTAGACAAATGCTTAACTGTTATACTTGTTTAATGCCTTTGGATGGTGGGAGGAAACCGGAGAAATTTCAGCACTTTTTTTAAAGCATTTTCAAGATGCATTTTCATGCTTTTCCAGCACTTAACAACTACAGTTAATTCCGTTTATATATGTTGTATGTACTTTTCACATTTCATTCCACTGTCCTATTTAAAAACCACAATATGACTTCTTTCAACTGAAATTGTTGAATACTTTAGAGCATAGATTTATTGGGATAGTTCACCCAAAAATGATTAAAAAAATCAATAAAAAAGTCCAGTTATTGGATGAAGATTGTTTTTAAGTTTGGTCTCTTTCTACCCAAGTTGATGCCTCAAGAAATGAGCTTACAGTCAGATTTTGTTTCGATTTCGTTCATAATAATACATGTGCATTGCTATTTTTTTTTTACAGTCATTGGTTTGGCGTTTCAGGTGCAAAAATGCATTCTGGGGAAATGTCTCTTAAATGTGTATGAAGCTAATAATATGCCAAAACAATCTGATTTTGAATCGTGTTCATTTGAATTATTGATAATTGTAAGTTCATAAAACTGATTATTATATTCAATTACAAATATTTGAATTTGAATTTCTTAACTAAAAGAAATTCAAATTTAAAACATTTAATAGCATATAGTAATCAGTTTTATTTACACATTTGTTAATAATTGAAATGAACAATTCTAATTCAGATTGTTTTGGCATATTAGCTTCATAAACACGCACATGTGGTGAACATTTTGCAATGAAAACTGGTCACACGGCATCTATTTATGCACTGGCACACATGCTCCCAAATATTTTTTGAGGTCACATATAAAAATTTGTGCGCATATGCAACCAAAAGGGTCGCAATTTCGAGCCCTGCAATTTCAAATTCAAGCAGGTTCCAAAATCCAAGCACTTTTCTAACCTTGAAAACACTTTATTAAAAATCAAGCATTTTCCAGGATTTCCAGCACCCGTAGGAACCCTGTAATCAAATTTTTAAGATAACAAATACAAAAAAAAAAAGCATATGAAAATTTCAGACCTTGCACCAGCCTTTACTGTATATTGCCAAACACACAAAGCACTTTACCATCATATGAGGAGGTCTAATAATAATGCGATTATGCTATGCAGCATTCGTGCCTACACATTGTTAGATTTTGAAATACTGCATGTGTGTTTTTTATTTCAGCTTCCTCGGCACTGGGGATTCATACAGAACCATTGCGTCCAGCCTAAGCCTCGGCATCTCTACAGTGGCACGGGTTGTTGCGGAGACATGTGATGCCATTTGGAGCTGCCTAAAAGACGAGTACATGCCAGTGCCCACTGAAGATGTGTGGCGGAGCATCGCAAAGAGGTTTCAAGAACGATGGAGCCTCCCTAATTGTTTGGGAGTAATAGACGGGAAACGCATCGCTGTTCAGTCCCCTGGAAATTCAGCCACGTTCCTTTACGATTACAAAGGCACATTTTCAGTGGTTTTGCTAACTCTGACTGACGCCGATTACCGCTTTCTAGTGGTAGACGTGGGCAGCTGTGGAAGCAGTAGTGATGTGGGCATCTTCACAAATTCAGCACTTGGCAAAGCACTTCAAGATGGAGCCTTCAACTTCCCAGCACCAGCTGAACTTCCTGGTGCTCCTGAACTCGGAAAGGTAAATCACGTGATAGTGGCAAATGAAACGTTCCCACTGAAACCGTACCTCCTGCGGCCATACCCCGGGCGACAGCTCCTCCCGGAAATGAAAGTTTTCAATTGCAGATTGTCCCGAGCGCGCCAGGTTTCAGAAAACTGCTTCAGCAACCTCAGCCAACGTTTCAGATTCTTTCAGCGCCGTTTACAGGTGAGCCCCGCTGTTGCTGATTCTGCAGTAAAAGCAGCCTGTATCCTGTGCAATTACGTGAGTCCATCAGAACAGAATATACAAGATCTACAAGAGGACGACGGCAGCGGTTGCGTGGTCATCGAACCGCTTAGGCAAATGGGGGGATATCGGGCATCCCATGAAGCACAGAGTGTTCGAAACACTTATAAAAAGTACTTCAACTCCCCTGCTGGACAAGTGGATTGGCAGTATGAACATGTGTCCAATGGTCTGGGGGGTGATTAGCTCATTTAAAGGGTTAGTTCACCCTGAAATGAACACTAGCCCTTGATTAACTCTCCCTAAAAGCATCCGTGATGTGTTTGACTTTCTTGTTTCAGATAAATTTGGATTATTGTCTTTAATCAGAACACTTTCATGTAACACTTGTGTACTGTTCAATTTGTTTACCCTTTTATTATGTTCGTGGCTGTTTTTGCCTCATTGACTTCCATTTATAGTGATATTTTTTGATTGTAAAGCCATGACACCAATTAATCGGGCATTCTTGATTGTTAGTGTTTTTGACTGTTGGGAAGAGGTAAAACCTTAGATTTTTACTGTCAATCTTCAGTTGGCCCCATTAACCCTTTAGGCCGTACTCACACTAGGTACAGTTGCCTCGAACCGGGCCACAGCACGCTTGTCCCCCCTCCCATCTCCCCAGACGGCCCGCACTCACACCACAATCGGGCCTCCTCATGCTTACATCATCGCTGCTGTGCTGTTCAGTGAGACGCGCTCTCTCACTCAGCAGCACAGAGGAGATTTCTCTAGTTATATCGTTTCAGTCGGTTTGTTATGCAGTGACATGCAGTCAAATATTTCGCCAAACAGTCCTTAAGGATGCGGAGACACGCAGTCAGATATTTCGCCAAACAGATCCGCTACTTTTGGCGCTCATAAACAATCATAAAGCTCTCGTGCTGCAGGAATGAGGAGGTCTGCTGAAGGCGCGCAGCTGTCGTGCTGTGAGGGGTTTGCGTCTTTAATAAACTAAGGCAGTTTGCGATCACTGAACAGTAAGAATGATTAATAAATCCATATTAAACAGCCCCTTAAACGTCACGTCTCGCTTTCAGTTTCGGGCTTTGGCCCAAGTGAACCGCGCTAAGGCACACCTCTTCCAACCGGGCCAGGGCCGGCCAAGTGAACCGTGCTTGAGCCCGATTCAGCGCACTCACACTTCTCAAACGATCCAGGAAACGGACCTGGGCACAGTACAGATGGCATAGTGTGAGTAGGCCGTTAGTTAGGCCTGTGCAAAAAAGTTTCTGATATTTAAAGTTAAAGTCAGAATTATTCGCCTCCGTTTAATTTTTTCCCCAATTTCTGTTCAATGTAGAGAAGATTTTTTTTCACATAATTCTAATCATAATAGTTTTAATAACTCATTTCTAATAACTGATTTATTTTATCTTTGCCATGATGACAGTAAATAATTTTTTCCTAGATATTTTCCAAGACACTTCTATACAGCTTAAAGTGACATTTAAAGGCTTAACTGGGTTAATTAGGATAAATAGGCAAGTTAGAGTATTTAGGCAATTAAGTTATCGAAAAAATTTATAGCTTAAAGGGGCTAATAATTTTGACCTTAAAATGGCTATTAAAAATTAAGAACTGCTTTCATTCTTGCCGAAATAAAACAAATAAGACTTTCTCCAAAAGAAAAAATATTATCAGACTTACTGTGAAAATTTCTTTACTCTGTTAAAAATCATTGGGGAAATATTCAAGAAAGAAAAACAAATTCAAAGGAGGCTAATAATTCTGACCTTAACTGCATTTGAAGTTTTATGGAGGAAAAACCAACAAATTAGAGTGTGTGTGCATAAATACACTTGCTACGCGTACCATGTTCTGAGTTCTGAGCTGCTTATTTTTTATTTTCTCAAACATATTAAGGGAAGTTTGACCTCTTCCCGACTGGGAAAACTAGCAACAACCAAGAAGGCTTTAAATCATAGGTCTCAAACTCAATTCGCGGAGGGCCGCAGCTCTGCACTGTTTTGCTCCAACCTTGGTCAAACACAGCTGATCCAACTAATGAAGGTGTTCAAGACTCCTTCGAGCACCTTGATTATTTTTTATTAGCTGTGTTTGATTAGGAATGGCGCAAAACCGCAGAGCTGCGTCCCTCCAGGAATTGAGTTTGAGACCTATGAGTCAAAAGCTTTATATGGTGTCCTGGCTTTGCAATCAAAAAATGTCATTATAAAGGTGGTCAATGGGGCAAAAACAGCCACAAACATAATGAAAGGGTAGTCAATTTGCCCAGTGTAGTGTTGAATTTCTGAAACATTTCAAAGTATTTTCCAAAATGTGTGTCAAAGTAAGATTTGTCACCAAAATCATTCCTTTTGCTGAAACACAGATAAATTTGAGGCCACATTAAGACTCAAAATCAAAACATCCCTAACAGCACATCAGGGTTAATGTGCACACCCGTCACCAGGATTTGATTGGCCATAAAAAATTTCCTAGTGAGATAAAAACAATAATGAAAATGTGTCTTTAAGTTCTAAGTTTAACACACTACTTTCTTATGTACATGGGACTCTTATATTGAAAATTGGATAGAGTAACAGTAATGCAACAATCTCATCACAGCTTGTCATTGCTCAATACAGTCAATTATAAGCTTAATTCGGTGCCACCTGAAAAAATTCATCTTTTGTTAGTTTAACTATTAACATATATATTGTGTGTATTGTATGTTTGTAATGAAGCAACATACACATGTAAACTATTGAATACACTTTTAAGTACGGTGGCTGAGAGAGCTTAACATGCTGCTATTTAAGAAAACGCAACACAATTACAAAAAATGTCAACAAATTAAAAAACGATCTTTATCGATTTGACAGCACACATGTTGCAAATCCTCAAAACGCAAACAAATCAATAAAACGTCTGTATTTTCACTTGCAAATAGCTCAGAACACAGTGGAGATGTTTCAGGTGGACCCTAAAATGTGATCAACTCTGCGATTTGGTTATTTTTAATGTGCTTAAGTTTGCCCTGTGCGCTCGCGATTTTTAAAGAAACGTCTTTGCTGCGTTAATCTTGTCAATGTTATTATTCAAAAATGTGTGACACACTGAGGAAGGGATTGTGCTGAAACGTTTGTGTTTTTAAATCACCCGACGTTTGTAAAAAGAAAAACAGTACGAAGCAATTACTTCATGAGCGCAAATCAATATCATTTTGATTAATATCTTTAGACTAATAAAATACAAAAGGCAAGGAAAAAAGGATGTGAAAATAAACAAACCAAAAACTCCCCTTTCAAAGATCACCTACAACATCCCTGTGCTCTAGTCGCGGCACAATAAACATTTAACAGAAGCGTCCGTCAAGTTTTAGGGTCCCCTTGAAACATTTTTGTTGTGTTCCTTTCTTTTTGTAAGTGTCGTGAGAAAATGTAGGCATTTTCATAATTTGTTTGTGTTGTGAGAAAGTGCGTCGTATTATTTAGCTCTTATGGTGATTTAATTTTTTTTTTTTATCTAGAGCAAATAAGTGCCAATAAACTTGATAAAATAAGTATTGGTCGTTCGGGCAGGTGATAATAATATGATGATCTGTGGATGTTCAGATTGATTCGTATTCTTTAAACTCATAAAATACAACTCTAAGTTCAGTCAGTCCCTTTTGAACTACAGAACATGCATGCAACAGTAAAACAAGCCCCACAGTGCTCTAATTGATGAAATTAAGTCTTTGTGTAGTGAATCAATGCATTTAATTAAAGTATCTATATTTTAAAATGTATAAACACTTTTTGAATCTTAACTATGAATGGATTTATCAGAAAGAAGAAAGTCATATCCAGTACATCCTGCCTTGAGGTTGAGTAAATCATAGGTTAATTAAAATTTTTGGGTGAATAACCCTTTATGGTTTAATATCTATAGACAAAGCTGAACTGTTTTAAAATAAACTTCACTTGGCGTATTTTCTTGACTAGTCATTTCTTCTTCTGTTTTTTTAAATGTGCCTACCTGATTTCCACAAAGTCATAAGCATCCCCTCACTTCATCCTGTTGGTTGTTACATCATCAATTTTACCTCTACTTAAAACTCATCACATTAATACAACAAATAGTTCGTTCATTCATAGTCCCTTTATTTATCAGTGATGGTCACCACAGCGGAATGAACCGCCAACTATTCCAGCATATGTTTTACACAGCAGATGCCCTTCCAGCTGCAACCCAGTACTGGAAAACACCCATACACTCAGATTTCCACAACATACACTACAGCCAATTTAGTTTATTCAATTCATTATAGCACATGTCTTGAAACTGTGGGGAAAACCGAAGTTTCACAAATCAGTTACACAAATGTTGATTTTCAGTTGAGGTTTTTAATTCTGAGATTGGTACGATCAAAAGATTTGACTTTCCTTTTTTTGTTTTTAAAGTACAATTATTTTAGTATTTGTGCTAAAACCTTTGAATACAGTGACTTTATTAAATTTATTTCACCTTTACTTCATTACTGTAGTCCTTAAGAAAGGACGGGTAACATTTGCTCACTGCGTAGACTGGAAATGTTAATGGAATACAACATTTATGAGACGTACACAGAAAAAAAGTTATCAAGTTTACAGTAAATAAAAAGAAAACAGCTTTAGTTGACAATGCAACATAAATATGATGATGATGTGTTACGTATTTGATATTTATATCTCCACTGTAAAGATGTATTTTCATAAAATGTTAGTAATCTAGTTCAGTGGTTCTCAAAGTGGGGAACGGGACCCCCTGGGGGTCATGAGACAATGAGGAGGGAGTCGCTTGGTGACTTCCAAAAATCTCATGTATTTTATTAAACTATTAGAACTATCATATTTTATCCATAACCTGCAGAATATAAATAGTTTTAACTTATATTTAATATATACTTAATATTTAAAAGTTACATAAATAATTGTGCAAATAAACAGTCATCAGCCTTTTAAATGTATTTTTTCCATTGGATTGCAACCCCTGGGGTTATTATGCTATAACATCACAGCAATAGTTGCAGCAGATTGATTTTTTTACAGTACAATGTTAAACTTTGACATCTATATGGCACTTACGTACAGTTGAAGTCAGAATTATTAGCCCCCCTGAATTATTAGCACCCGTTTATTTTTTTCCCCAATTTCTGTTTAACAAAAAGAAGATTATTTCAACGCATTTCTAAACATAATAGTTTTAATAACTCATTTCTAATAACTGATTTCTTTTATGTTTGCCATGATGACGGTAAATAATATTTTACTAGACATTTTTCAAGACACTTCTATACAGCTTAAAGTGACATTTAAAGGCTTAACTAGGTTAATTAGGGTAACTATGCAGGTTAGGATAATTAGGCAAGTTGTTGTATAATGATGTTTTGTTCTGTAGACTATCAGGAAAAAATATAACTTAAAGGGGCTAATAATTTTTTCCTTAAAATGGCTTTGAAAAAATTAATAACTGCTTTTGTTCTAGCCGAAATAAAACAAATAAGATTTTTTCCAGAAGAAAAAATATTATCAGACATACTGTGAAAATTTCCTTACTCTGTTGAACATCATTTAAAAAATATTTAAAAAATAAAATAAAAATCAAAGGGGGGCTAATAATTCTGACTTCAACTGTACATTGAAAATAAAGGCCATGACTGAAAAAGATGGACGATTTC